TACAGGTGTTTTTGCAGCAACTGCATTAATCAAGAAGCCTACATCCATTCCTGAAACATTGTCACTGCTAGTGTGTAGAATATTAGAAGGGTCTCCACCTGTTCCTGTTCACCAGTTTCCAAAGTTTTTTGAGGTTCGTTAATGTGATAGTGTATGATCTAGCTTTATTTTATTATGAAAAATATTTGACGAATTTTTATCCTTTAATTTGCTATGATACTATGTACATGTACATAAATTTGTGTAGATGATATGGACTGTGCTGTGTTGTTTTGTGTTTGGCTGTTTAGTGTAAATGATGCATTTATTCTTTATTGTGTTCATTTATTTAGAAAATAACAACCAGGGAGCTCCCACTGATTGAGTATGGCTTCAGCACAGTTGAAGAGTTCCTAGCTTGCATACCAGAGATTAGTGTAATTGAAGATGAGAAGGAGGAGAAAGTTATTAAAGTGACTCAGCCTGAAAAGTAAGCCAAGAGGGAGGATGAAGTAGCTACTAAGGGAAAGACACTCTCGGATACATGTACTGCTAAAAAGGTAATTTATTTAATGCATATTCATGTACATGTATATCTATTGCAACTAGTTTTTTTATTTAAAAATTCGTGCTTCATTGTAGTTTTGTACATTTGCAGTAAATTTGCAGTGATTCCTCAAAGTTATGAGAACTTTTTTTAAAAGCCACTATTACAATTACAACTATTACTACCATTTATATTTATTATTGCAGCATACTACACAAGCAGGATGACATAAGATATCTAAAGAACAATCCCAAGTAGAAAGAGAGGGCACTCAGTGCATATGAACCATAACAGCACTAGGGATGTAGTCAAGAGAGCCATTACAGTACTTGGCACAAAGCGCCAAATGCTGTATTGGCTGTTTCATGTTGTATATTAACATAAAATTCATAATGTTTAATAACTATTAATAGTGTGCTCACTGCTCAGTTTAAGTCTTATGTAAATAAATAGTGTATGTTTGAGTATAGACAATTATAGAACGAGAGGGAGTAATAGAGAGAGAACTTCTTTTTGTTTATTCTGGCTGATTTGTGCCCTCTGATTTATTTATTATTGTAATCAATTCTTGAATTCAATGCATAACATCTTGCAAGACTAAAGACTCAATATACAATCTTTATTTTAATCTTGTTGAAAGAAATAGAAATGTTCCCTATTCAAGGCAATGTGTTGCTTGACTGGGCAAATGTTGAAAGCAGCATAGTTGAATTGTTGAAATTATGCATTAGGTTAGTTTAATTATTTTTACTGCATTTCCTATTCAAAAACAATATTTATTGCCATCATGTGAAATCGTGAATTTATCAATCTATAGTTGTCTAACTCCCTAAAGGGTGGGACCCTAAGTTTGACCTTTTGCTCTCCTATCACACGTTCCCTTGCCCTCTCACTGAAGGAATAGTTTGATAATGGAAGGAATGGAACAATGCAGGAATGAATTTGAAAAAAGGGATCATGCAAATGCTATTTGGTCACTACAATCACAGGATCCTAATGTACTTTACCGGAATGAGCGTGACCTACTTTATTATTCTATAAGGAATGGATGGTTAGATATTGCAAAAGATCTCATCACTAATTATCACTTTGATCCAAAAAAATACTATAAAGGTGACTCCTACCTTTATATAGCTGCTAAAGCTAATCAAATTGACATAGTTGAATATCTTATGAAAGAGCATGGCTGTGATCCAATGATGGGTACTAGGTATAACAGAAAGGTCCCTATTCTTCATTATGCAGCTAGGGAAGGATTACTTGATGTGTTAAAGTGTATGGTCATGAACATCAATGGTCATATAATGGATGAACAAAATTATGATGCTAAAGGTCAGACTGTTCTTTGCTGTGCTGTTAAACACACAGATGTTGTGAAGTATCTCATTAATGAGTGTAACTGTGATATAATGTCTCATGGTAACAATGGTGTCCCTTTTCTTCATTATGTAGCTAGTGAAGGATTACTTGATGTCTTGAAGCATATGATCATGAACATCAATGGTCATATAATGGATGAACAATATTGGGATACTAATGGTCGTACTGTTCTTCATTGTGCTGCTAAACACATAGATGTTGTAAAGTACCTCATTAATGAGTGTAACTGTAATATAATGTCTCACGGTAAAAATGGTGTCCCTTTTCTTCATTATGTAGCTAGTGAAGGATTACTTGATGTCTTGAAGCATATGATCATGAACATCAATGGTCATATAATGGATGAACAATATTGGAATACTAATGGTTGTACTGTTCTTCATTGTGCTGCTAAACACATAGATGTTGTAAAGTACCTCATTAATGAGTGTAACTGTAATATAATGTCTCACGGTAAGAATGGTGTCCCTTTTCTTCATTATGTAGCTAGTGAAGGATTACTTGATGTCTTGAAGCAAATGATCATGAACATCAATGGTCATATAATGGATGAACAATATTGGGATACTAATGGTCGTACTGTTCTTCACTGTGCTGCTAAACACATAGATGTTGTAAAGTACCTCATTAATGAGTGTAAATGTGGTATAATGATCACTGATAAAGATGCAAATACTATTCTACATGCTGCAGCTAGTAAAGGGTCACTTAATGTCATAAAATACCTCATCAATACTTGTCACTATAATCCAATGACTACTAATAAGAATGGTGAGACTGTTCTTCATCTTGCTATTAAGCACATAGATGTTGTAAAATACCTCATTAAGGAGTGTAACTGTAATATAATGGAAACTGATGAGGATGGATGGACATCACTTCATCTTGCTGCCTGGTTAGGTACACTTGAAGTAATTGAATACTTATTATTTACTCGTAAATGTGATCCTTTAGCTAAAGACAAAAAGGGTAGGACACCCTTAGAACTAGCTAAAAGGAGACGGCATAATACCGGTACTGTCATTGCTATCTTTAAGAAGTTTGGTGACATTAAAATATCTCATCCAATTGATTCTTATGTTAATGTTCTCCTTGTGGGTAATCCTGGAGCTGGTAAAAGTACTCTTATAGTCACGTCATCAAGGACACAGCTAGTTTTACTCTTCTTGGTTCCTTTAGAAATGTTGGAGGGGTAGTGCCCTGTACTGCTGGCATCATTCCTTATAAACTACAACACAGGACACTGGGTAACATCATTCTTCATGATTTTGCTGGTCATTCAGAATACTACTCCAGTCACAGTGCTGTCATTGAGAATCTGTTACAAGGTTCTGGTGGTGTGTTCCTGATAGTAGTCAATATATTAGAAAAGGAAGCAGTCAAACAGCTTTATCAGTGGCTAACAGTTGTGAGAAACGAAGCACAGAAAGCTCTTAATCAATGCCATGTTATTGTAATAGTTAGTCATGTAGATGAGATAAGTAATTCAGATGAAAAGAGGAGAAAGGAAGAAATACAAGAGATTATTTTAAGGGAAAGGTGTGATATTATCTTCTTAGATTGTCGTAAGCTTGGTGGGAGTGGTGTGGATTCCTTCTTTAAAAGATTGTCTATTTCCTGTGAGTCTATTTGTAGTACAAGAAGGAATCAATCTAGTCTTTATGATCATGAAATGTACCGACTACTGGTGGAAACAAACAAGAATACACTGACCCTTTTGGGTGTAATGGCTGCTGATGGTAAGGACAGTAATGATTATGTTATACCAGTTACAAAAGGAGATGTCTTGGATGCTCTTCATTTGTTGCACTCAATTGGTTTAATCAGTGTTCTTAAAAGTGAAGACAAGGTATGGGTTGTTGTGGATAAGGGTATACTACTAACTGAGTTGGATGGGATTCTCTTTGCTCCAAAGACATTCAAAGAACACGTTGGCATTGCTAGCAATACTGGTATTGTTAGTGTGTCTGGCCTAACTAGACTCTTCCCTGAATATGATCCTGACATGTTGATCTGTTTCCTGAAGAACATGGAACTCTGTCAAGAATTGAATCCATTATTCCTAAAATTTACAGATTTAATAGAAGGAGAGACAGAGGAGACAGGAGGCAGTGCCTCAGAGAGTCAAGGAATAACAGAAAGGTTATTGTTCTTTCCATGTCTTTTGTCTACTGATAGACCTAAGATTTTGACTAGTCAAGTGTACCGGTTTGGTTGGTGTCTACAGTGTACTAGAGAGCATCAATTCTTTCCTCCTCGATACTTTCATGTTCTCTCATTACATCTTGCTTTTAAAATGGCTCAACCTCAAGAAGATGGCAAGTTAGAGCGACGTTGCTCATTTTGGAAGAATAGACTTTATTGGTTTAATGGTCATGGTGTAGGATCACTGGTAGAGATTGTGGATGAGAGCCAGTGTGTACTTGTAATGATGTCCTGTGAAAAAGGATACAGTGACAATATGGTGTCTCTAAGAAGAGATGTAATAGGAGAGGTAATGAGTGTTTACAAAGAATCCTGTCCCAGTCTAGAGGTAAAAGAGATAGTTATTGATCCTAAAGAACTAGGCTATCCTGTGAATACACCAAGAGAAAGGGCAGTGTATAGTGTAAAAGATATACTTTCTGCTTTTGACAAGAGAGAAGAGTTTTTAGTAAAATTTGATGGTACTAAAGGTGAAAAAGTGAAAGAGATCTTATCTGATGAATCATTAACAGATATTAGTAACCTGTCACTACTAGGAGGATGCGATATAAAAGTAAGAAATATATATTATTTGGTTTAACTGCTATCTGTTTGTAGGAAGTATTAGGAGACACTTATACTCCATTTGATTGCAATAAAGTGCAACATCATAAGCTACTAGGTAGTTCTCAAGTGGTAGTAGTGTGTGTTTAAGTTTGTTTTTGCTTTAGATGTTAAAG